TTAATCAGAACCCGTCTTTAGTAAAAGAACTATTAATGACAAAAATATGGAGTCATGAAAATCCTTTGTCATATACGTTTGGCCTTAAATTGATGCATAATAACGACCGTAAAGGCACTGTTACAGAGGTTAATTGCAACACGAACGAATATTTCTATTGAACACTTTTCACTTCTTAGTATACGTATCGGAATGTTAGTCAAAATTATCAATCTCATTTCGGACACACTTGAATTTACAGGCATTCGATTTTGGAATATTTTTGAGTATGTTCAAAAGAACGTCTCTTAGCATACTACTTTAGAGCATGTGTAACAGCACCTTTAAAGAAAAAATACGAGGCGATTATGTTGCCATGCCATTTTAAACTCTAAAACCTATTGAATATAATCAAATTGTCACCAAAAACATCGCACATATATACTAAAAATTTCTCCCATTTTATTTTACAGCAATCCTTTGACAAAGTGCAGTTCATCGAAAATAGGAAAGTTAGACCTGACGCCTTGGAAAGATCACTCATGCCAGTAGACATCGAAATTAAATTAATATTTTTGTCAATTACTATGTTTCACAGCTTACTCACGCAACTGTTTGACAAGAAATTCGACTAGTTTCAAGCCAGGGGCTCATACTATTCATTTGCAACATTCCGCGACATACGATATGACCCTCTAGTATGGCTTGAAACTAGTCGAGTACCTGGACAAACGTACGGCAGTATGCCGATAAACATAATAATAAAATTAGTAGGTCTCACGAAATGTGTGATAAGTTTGTTATCATAATTATATTGTTAGTCTGCATTCCTCTACATACATGTACTCCTATACTATCTGTAATAATAATATGAAGGTGCGTTAAACTTTATATAAATACAATTTCTACCAAAACTATGTTGTCAATTGTTTCATTTACCTAAAATAAAATTATCTTAAAATAAAACTGAGTTCTGAATTTCTCTTTTCAATTTAAAGTACTAATTAGTATTTAAATGTTGTTAATAATTTAATCAGCCACAGATAACATAATGTGTTTTATTTTTTATTTTATTTCTAAATGAATTATTCAATTACCTATATACTATTGTACTATTATCATTAATTTGTCAAAGCATCAATTTAAAATTCTTGAATTAATGATCTAGTTCAAATAAGAAATCAATTTAATGTTTCATTGGACTGCCTCGTTGGCCGAGTGGTCGCAAGTAGGACTGCCGGGCAAGGGGTCCCAGTCTCAGGTTCAATTCCCGAGTTGGGTAAAGTATTACCGGGTTTTGAATAACAAAACTCAGTAGCGCGTAGTCTGGAATTGTTCCCCAGTATATGGCAATAGGTTCACTGAGTGTGATTTCAATTCAATTAGGGTGGGCCCTATTACATTGTACAGTGGCACTAAGTGCCGTAATGTGCACCTCTACCTACCCCTTCGGGGATAAATGCGTGATGTAATTTCAAGTTTAATGTTTCGTTTTTATTAGTTATATTTAACGTAAAAGAAAATAACGATGATTTGTATAGCAAGATAATTCTTTTATTATACTCCAAATGTTGAACATTTCTATTTAAATACGTTTTACTTATTTTTTTCACTCAGTGTGTTCACAAACATGTAAAGAAGACAGTTCTAAATTAACATAGAAAAATATTTCTCTTTATTATATTTCATCAAGTTGATAACTGTAAGACAAGTTTACAATTAAAAATCAAAATATTCATTGAATAAAAATCAAAAATGTTCAACATTCTGCTTCTATTCACGTGTATGTGTGTTGGTATATCCAATGCGGTACTTTACGACTGTTTCACCGGGGAACCTGTCAATAGAACGTTGTTGAGGATCTATGAGCAAAGGAACGTTGTTGCGTAAGTATTTTAAATATCTTTATCTTTTAACTCGTAACTACACTGATACTTGCCTGCTGCTGCTTTGAAGCTTTGCTATACTTTATTAAGCATTATCACAAGTTGTGTTGGCTATTATACGACCTTTCACAACATCATTGTCATTAGCCTATATCTGCCCACTCCTGAGCAAAGGCCTCTTCTCGCACGTAAAAGGAATGAACATTAATCACCACGTTTGCTTAATGCAGATCATGGCAATTTCAAACTTATATTTTGAAAATTTAAGTCCAGGTTTCGTCACGTATTCCTTGCCAGTGATATTTAAATAAAGTCACATTAGTTCCACTATCATTAACTGGTTTCTTCCTTCTCTTGGTCTTGTCTCAATTTATTTTAGTGTCAGCATTGCATCCACTAGATTTGTAGGACAATATTAATTCATCAATATTATTATCTGAATTTGTTGTTATGAAGAAACTGCACGGTGGAGATAGATCCATGTGACCCCACTGAATGGCGACGTGTGGATGGATCGTGTAACAACTTGAAGCACCCGAGTAGAGGAACTCAGCGCACTCCTTCATTTAGGGTCCTATCGCCAGTGTTTAGCCATGGTGAGTTATCCTTGGGCTTAATCTTCAAACCTTATTATTTACCCTTTGAAAGTCTATAAATATAAAGGCATACTTGTAAACGTCAGACTATTTCTATGCGCAAATGATGGTTTATCATTGGGGTAAAAACACATAACATAACATCACGCCTTTTATCCCCGAAAGGGTAGGCAGAGGTGCACATTACGGCATTTAATGCCACTGTAATGTAACATCCACTTTTCACTATTTATGTTATGAGTCCCATATAATAGGAGGTGAGCCTATTGCCATATACCGGGCACAGTTCCAGACTCCGTGCTACCACTGAGAAAAACCCAGTAATACTTTGCCCGACCCGGGAATCGAACCCGAGACCCCTTGCCTAGCAGTCGCACTTGCGATCACTCGGCCAATGAGGGGTAAAAATTGTCAATATTGTCGAATGAATCTTTACAAACTAATTGAAGCCACTGACGCAGTTCGGGTTAGTTTTGAGTGAGCCAATGTACAATGTTACTTAGACTTTTGTCATCTACTGTTACAAATAAAATTATTATCTCTAAGTAAACTAACATGATTCGCATAACCGCTAAATAACAAGAACCACTAGCAAAGAGGTGGAATGATATCTTGAAAATATAGTGGGAAAGGCCTCTCGTAACTACACGTAAAAATAGGGATTGAAATTATGGAATAAGTGAACTAGTAGTTAGACGATTTTAAACTATTTTATACTATTAAAAACTTTATCATATTGTTCTCTTTTTGTCAGATTATGAACCAATAAAAGCAGTCAGTGGAGCTTCTCTGCCTTTACCAAGGAGGCTGAGGACGGACCTCTTGTTAATGGGCTCAACTACAGACATGAAGCTAACGCAGCTGTTTTCTTACTACGTCTTATTCATGATCTCTGACGTTCTATCTTCTCATGACATCAGTAAGTATGATATTATTTTCATTTTTATGTATAAAGTAAAAACCTTAGGTTTGAAAAACAACTAAATAAACGTACAGGAGAAGGTTTCATTCGATAGATAAGTAAAATGAAATCATTTATCGTAAAATGGTGATCTGGTTTAAATAATTAATGGTAACTTTAATATTTTATTTCAGTAAATTACCTTCAAAATATAACTACTTGCTGTACTCCAGAAGGCCAGAATAACTACAACTGTATCCCAATCAGGGTTCCTGTAGACGATCCAGTGCATAGATACTCTGGGGTCCGTTGCTTGAACCTCACCAGACCGCAAACCTTCCAGACTTATAGGTGTTTGGATAACGGAACCACTTTTGCAAGGGTAGGTTTTTAGAAAGAAAGGTCTTTGCAAATATGAGATTATAATAAGTTCAATACCCTTGAAGAATGATGTGAGGAACATGTTACGAAATTAATTAATTACCAACTCATTTTAAGTGCATCTCATTGTTAAAAGAGAAAATGTTGATGGTTTACTAAACAACTTGCAAAGAAAAAAGTAATATTTATACACCGATACAGTAGACTGTATGAGACAGAAAACGCCTATTGTAAACCACATTCTGACAAATACATTTTTTCTTTCTTTGTATCTTTTTTTCTTTCCATCTTTGCCTTACAATATAACATTGATACATTTCTTTCCATTTTCTTTTTCAGATTGTTTTTCAGACTCCAGTTTTTGATTTATCTCACATTTACGAGTACCGACCAGGATTCATCAATCGACTCAGAACCTTTGAGAATGGCATGATGAAAATCGAGGAAGAAGATGGAGAATTGTTTCCTCCCAGTGACCCGAATTCTACCTACTGCTTTCAAAATCAACCACCCAAAGAAACACGTTGTCATATGTACCGTAAGTATTTCTATCATCACTTTAAATATATGCTCCAATAAAGATGGTGTTTCATCTTAGTTTGGTTGGATTGTAATGTGAAGAAAAAATAAATAAAGGTTGAAGAAGAAGTCTACTACACCAAGTGAATATATCCACGAATCTAGCTAGAGGTCTTAACGCTTTTCTGATTTCTGAACGCAGATACCAAACAAGCCAAAATTAGTGCAGTTGTTTTGTTTCTTTTAACGTTGCCCCACGCTTTTTCTTCTGTATCGTGGGTGCGTTTAACATACACATGACACTTAGACCTGGAACGACAGTTTATGGATCACACAAAGAGTTGTTCCGTGTGGAAATCGCACCTGCTACGCTACACATTGTGCGGCAGCCGTTTTCCCAACCACCGCACCAACCGTGCAGTCAATAGTCAATTAAGACATCATTCTTGAATTTTCAGAAGTGAACAACGTGCTTGGTTCAAACATATGGATCATCTTGCTGTACAGACATCACAACCAGATAGCTCGTGAGCTGCATAGACTCAACCCGTGCTGGGATGACGAGCGACTGTTTTACACCGCGAGAGACATCAACATGGCTATATCAGTGCAGATATACTTCTATGAACTGCTACCTATTATATTCGGTTGACTGAAATTTTTATTCCTACATTGTTTTCTATGATCAACTATCACATTGCTCATAGTGGTATTTTAAAATTTCTAGGTAAAAAGAATATGATCAGAGATGGTCTTATCGGTCGTGGAGGAGGATTTAGGGACTTGTACGATGAAAATATTGAACCAAGGATGTCAGACGAGTATTTTTATGGGATGAGATGGTTCCACATGTTACAGAAGACAAGTATGAAGTTAGTATCAACATACATTTACTAAATAACGCAAATAATCAAACGATTGCAAATTAATAGCTTTATTATCTTAAAAATAAACTGGGGTTAAACCAGACTTTTCTAGGTATTCGGTAATTTTATTATATAATATAAATCCTGTTCCAGTTCCAGATAAGTAATTCTTAGGTTTTATCAAATTGTAATTATTGTTTTATTTTCAGATTGTACGACAAAGATGGGTATTATATCAAAACATATCCTATGGTTAACGTTACTGCTCGAACAGGATTTTTTGCTGTCGACAACAATATGCAACACATTATACAAGGCAGTTTCAGACAATTAGGTGGCTCCATTGATTGGACCGTTGATTACGATGTAAGTATGATACTGTTTGTTTCAGTTTATTTTTTATTTTTTTTTAATTTGACAGCATTCTGGTCTCTGCAGTCTTTCTAAACTTTCTGGAGTTTAAATATTTCAGATGGCCGATCGATTGCTTGGCGCTATTTTGTTTTCCTCGGATGCGACAACAAGTGATTTAAAGAAGGGAAGGTATTTTGGTATGCAGCCGTATGTAAACTATAAAGAATTTTGCACCAACAGAAAATATAATACCTTTGATGATTTAAAAGACAGCTTTAGTCAGGAGGTAATCTATTTGATATTGTTTTCTAAATTTCATTTTTCTCAACGTTCTCACTAATTCCATATTTATCTACATTTAAGCCATTAACTAAAATGCCGTCATGATTCATATGACTACTTCATTTCCAGCGTCTTCATCGTCTAATGGAGGTTTACGAGGACCCTAAGGATATTGAGTTGATGGCAGCCTTGTGGCTTGAGAAGCCCGTCGAAGGTGGTCGAATTCCAGAAACCCTGTACTGCTTGCTGACGGAGCAGTATAGACGAAGTATTAAGTCTGATAGACATTGGTATGAGAGACACAACAGACCCCATGCCTTTACTGAGAGTAAGATAAATTTAATATTTTATGTAGTATTTCAATATTTATGTTTACGAAACCGTTACGTTTCATTACGTACGTAGTGCGTATGTGTCACTACGAGGAGTTATAAATCTTTATCTTATAACATAACATTACATTACGCCTTTTATCCCGGAAGGGGTAGGCAGTGTTGAACATTTACGGCACTTAATGCCACTGTACAATGTAAACGCCCACTTTTCATTATTCATATTAAGAGTCCCATGTAATAGGGAGTGAGCCTATTGCCATATACCAGGCACAATTCTAGACTACGTGTTAATACTTGAGATTAAAAGAAAACTCAGTACCTAATGCTTTTTCCGACCTGGGAATCGAACCCCCAACCCCTTGCACGTAATCGCAATCGCACTTGCGACCACTCGGCCAATAAGGCAGTCTTATCTTCATATAATTATGTTTTTTTTTCTTCAGAACAATTAAGAGCAATCCGCAAAGTCACAATAGCGGGTATGTTGTGCTCCATCGGTGACTTTGTGACGGAAATACAACCGCATGCATTTTTTGCTATATCTCGTAGGTGAGTCATTAAACTATATTATCACATACGTACACATATAAATGACTTTTTTTCAAAAACTAGTGAAAAGAGCCAGTTTTATTTTACAAAACTAGTTGGGAAGTGGTTTAATTTTATTTTGTACTAGCTACTTCCGCGTTTCACACGCTCTGCTCATCCTTTTTGTCGTAGCGTGATGTTTTATATAGCCTATAGCCATCCTCAATAAATGCGCTATCCAACAAAAAAAGAATTATTCAAATCAGACTTGTAGTTACGGAGATTAGCGCGTTCCAACAATGAAACAAAAAAAACTAACTCTTCCACTTTATATAATAGTATAAGATATAAGATAACACTAGAAAATAATCCAAGCTTTTTATTCATCAGTACCTTCATACAATACCAGATTTAAAGCATATTTTTATGTTAATTTACAGTAATCCTTTGACAAAATGCAGTTCATCAAGAATAGGAAAATTAGACCTGACTCCGTGGAAAGAATCTGACTAGGCAGCCTATAGCTTAACACAGGAGTAACCAACTGTCATTTATTTAAAAAATAAAACCTTTTTCTCGTAAATGTAAGTCTTTATTCTTGGTATCCTTACTATATAATATTATAAATCTGAAAGTGAGTTTGTTTGTTTGTTTGTTTGTTCCACCATCACGCCGTAACTACTACACCGATTGCTTTGAAATTTTGCAGACGTAAAGTTAGAAGTCCAGATTAAATAATAGGGTACTTTTTATCCCGGAAAAATGTGATATTTCCGAGGGAAAACAAAAATATTAGTATAGATGGCGCTGTGTGTATTCCTGTAGATGGCGCTTTGTACCATCTAAAACAATTCAACGAATTACCTACTAATTGGAAATTTCACGCTTTAATCTATAGCGGTTATTTGGTGTTAATCTACACTTATTCAGTGCGCTTTTCAACTCATTTATTTGCTATTTTATATGTAAAAATACTTAAAAAACACAACGTGGTAACGTTGTGTAGTAGTTACGCTACTTGGCGATAGATGGCGCTGAGTGTTTATAAAACGGGGTAGCGTTGTGCTTTTAAAGTACTTTCATCGCTTTTAAATTTTGGTTTCTACCATTTTACATTGAATTGTGTATTTTATAGATTTTAGGTTGTTAAAGGTACATGAAATTGGTGTCTATGTAGTAGTTACGCTATTTTTTAAGTATTTTTCGCTTTTAAATTTTGGTTCTAACCATTTTACATTAAATTGCGTATTTTATAGATTTTAGGTTGTTAAAGGTACACAAAATTAGTGACGCTACTAATGTAGTAGTTACGCTACTTGGCGATTGAGTGCGCTGAGTGTTTGTAAAACGGGGTAACGTTGTGTTTTTTAAGTATTTTTATCGCTTTTAATTTTTGATTCCTACAATTTTACATTGAATTGGGTATTTTATAGATTTTAGGTTGTTAAAGGTACACGAAATTGGTGTCTATGTGGAATAGCGACGTGTTTTTTAAGTATTCTTCGCTTTTAAATTTTGGTTCCAACCAACATTAAGTTGCGTATTTTATAGATTTTAGGTTGTTAAAGGCCTACACGAAACCATAGTGGCAACAATACTCAACAATTAGCAAATATATTGTACGCTGTTGTTTCAACGCTCGATAGATGGCGTTAGGATCGAGTTAGATGGCGCTATGGTTTCGTTACCGGCGAAAGTATAGGTTCCGAGCTTCCGTATCAGCCATATTTTAGTGTACGCATCTAGCGCTTATATTGATTATGATGATGATTATTATTATTATATGTTCGCTATGTAGGTTTGATTAGTCAAGTGTTATTTTTTCTATAGTCCATCTGTTTAGGTAATTAACTAAAGGTAAACAAAGAAAACCACGTGACACAGAGATACTTAACCTACTATTACTTCAAATATTTCTCGTGTTTTAATTTTAACTGAATTCACTTTAAAATCGTTTATTTGTCATACACACACATACAAGTACAAATGCCTAAATCGTACAAGAGCCTAGCCTATGGGTCTATTTCATTATCATGTTTAAATAGAAACTATTCTGAATCTGATGTACGGATTTCTTTCTTGTACGGATATCTGTCTTTGGGCCAAGTTTCTTCAATATATTTGAACACATTAATTACAAACGATGATTAACCTAAACTTAAATAACTTAATAATAAAAACAAAACAAAGAAACAAGTTAAATTCAACAAAATAGGAACGCGAGCGCAAACGACGAGAGAGCTGTCAATGGCGCCTGATTAACCGACTAAACGTAATACACGCTACTTTCATTGTCGCGCTACATCTTAGTTGTACTCTTTAATTTGACAACATTATTTTGCTTCGTTCTTAAAGAAACGTTTTGGATACCTGGGATTTTAGGCTCTTTATGGTGTCTATTGTAATGAAATATTATATTATTTAATCAATGTTATTAAATTAATATCCTCAAGCAGGTATATTTAATATTTATTAAGAAATAAGTGAAAAGGAACAGAAACATAACATTTAATAGAGAAAACTGTCGTAAAAAGGGAAACAATTTTATTTTCTTATGAAGTATTTTGAATCATGGAAATGTCAACTATAAAGAACTCTTTTTATGGTTTGTTTACAAATAGTTAACTACCTAAACAGATGGAGTATAGGTAGATATTAGTATTTAAAGTACTATAGTAATTTTTTTCGTCGTTCTAAGACGCTTTGTTCATTGTTTACGTTGATTGATACAGTAGCTATATTAGTTAGGTTAGATTAGTGAAGTGGTTTATTTCTAAGTAGATGTCTAAAGTAGTTAGGTTTTCGATAATAAAATGTATAATATAGTTTACCACTCAGTTTTGGTTTAGCGTTGCAAATATAACCCTTATAGGAAATAGAAGTCTTTTAAATTAAAATGGGAGGAGGTATTTGTGGTAATGCGAAAATAACTTCTTCTGTTCTTTTACGCGGCTGAATCGATTTTGAAGAAATTTGGTATAAAGGTAGTTTGAGTCCTGGAAAAGCAAGGCTTTACCGCGGCAGAATTTCTCATTGCCACGGAAAAATCTAAAACGCGCGTTATAACCGAATTCCACGCAAGCGAACAGCTGTTTGTTTGTTTGCCTGTCTTAAACGGCAAAACGGAGGTACTTAACGTGATTTTTCAACTGAAGGTACGTGAAGGGATGGGTAGTCACATAGGCTACGTTTTATCTTTTTGTGACGCGAGCGAAGCCGCGGGTAAAAGCTAGTATATTAATAACAGGACATCAACCTTTTATCCCCAGAGGGGTAGGCAGAGGTACACATTACGGCACTTAACTCGTTACATCTGTAGGCTTAAGTGTTCTAAATCAGCTCTGGAGAAAATGACCGATAAGACTGACCAGATGAAACGCAGCAATATTATGTGAAAATAGTATTTTATATAACATCACGGCTTTTATCCCCGAAGGGGTAGGCAGAGGTGCACATTACAATACTTGATGCCACTGTACAGTGTAACACCCACGTTTCACTATTTATGTTATGAGTCCCATGTAATAGAGGGTGAGCCTATTGCCATATACCGGGCACAAATCCACACTCTGTGCTACTGCTGAGAATTTTTTATAAACCCAGTACCTAATACTTTGCCCGACCCGGGAATCGAACCCAAGATCCTTTGTCCAACAGTCGAACTTACGACCACTCGGCCAACGAGGCAGTCAATACATATTAATAATAATTTAAAATGTCTTTACATTCCAAATTATAAAAATAACAAGGTAATTATTTTTTAGTTCTTTTAGTTTTTATTATATTCTGTTGGAAATAAAGCACCATTTTTACCGACTTCAAAAAAAGGAGGTGGTACTATGTTCGGCTGATTCTTTTTTTATTTTTTAAGTTAGTAAAGTTAGTCTAGTCTAGTTGTTCTCTTACAAAATAAATGCATTTAATAAAACATGACACCATGTAGTAAACAACTGATACTGAGACACATTAAATTAATTGTGTTCACCTCAAATACTATTTATAAAACTATCTAAATTATATATTACTGCAGGTGTCGAGTTAATTAACCATTTTTATCATTTAACTACAAATAATTACGTACCGAATTGCATTATAAGTTTACATTTACATTATAAGTTACCCATTTTTTATAAATTCGGATACTACAAGTATTTATACATACCATACATATTTTCACGCCTGTCTCCCGTGGGGGTAGGCAGAGACTATGGAACGCTCTTGCGCTTCATCAACAGTCATCAGTCTTTTCATGCATGCTCCTCCGTGGAAGAAGAAGTATTCACTTATTGTATCTACACTTTCAAGTAATTAGTAGAATATTTGTTCATATTTGTAAATAGATACATTTTTTATGGAATTCCCCAAGGTAACGTGTTGGGGCCAACGCTGATTATATGCATTTATACTACACTTTTTTGTACAAAGTTGTCAGTCATTTATATAATCACGCTTGTCACATAATTTCGAGTGAGTATCACACATAAGTAGAGTAATCTATGTAATTCTCATAGTAATAATGAAAAACAATAGTCGTACAAATGACTTATTTAGGTAAGTTTTTGAACAAAAGTTTTAACAAATTAACATACAAACTAACTTATCAATGGCCCTCGACTATCCCCTCGCCACTTAAAAAATCGATTCATAACAATACTCCATCAAAGTTGAATGCCGTCAATCAATACTGTTTGAACTAAAATGCAAGGTAGCTTCAAAAAGGGCAAGGGGATCGCTGGGCAAACAGTGGGGGCCCACTGCGGGTAATTTACCAATTTACCCCAGCTCTAGTAAGCTACGGGTTTGATTACTGAAGCTACCACCTGGTGCTTTAAATTTTGAAGTCAAAAATCGCATGGCAATTTATCTTGTAGGAGTCACGGGTTTTCACCAGGTGGGCGGAATTTAAGGTAACAATGTCTCATTGTTTTAGGTGAGTATTTTATTTATGACTTTCAATTGAATAACTGTTATTATTGTATTTATTCGTATATTTTTACTGATACTACAATCAATTCTGAACGTTACAAGGTAGGTACGAATAATGAAATAGAACAATTTCATCTAAAACATATGTGATAAAAGATTAAGTCAATCTAGTTTCAAAAACCTTAAGGATGTATGAATTAACAAGTTTTTTTTTTTCGTTTTTTATTATCTTTATTTTAATTATTACTGAATACGAGAATATCAAACTTGAGCAGGACGATACTACATAAATATAATAAGAAAGTTTTCGTGTTTAATTTTGTTCTCAAGTTCAAAATGTTTGTAGTCGTTACTGTCTGGAGGATATGTAAACAGTAATATTGTTGACGCATAGCTGACGGACTGTGTACTACAAGTTTATGCCTATGTTCATCAAATATTTAATTTCATTACTTATGCAATATTAATTACGCGGAGACTGAAGGGGGGTTCGTTCGTCCACGAGTTCAGCAGATTTGTGATCATATCGATCGATATTTGTTATCATTTTCAGCAGTAACGTACAAAACTCACATTGATATATAATA